CCTGGGCGCCTGGGCTGCGGGGCGCAGGCTCCTTCCTCCACACCCCACTTCCTCCGCCTCTGTTTCTCTCTCACACAGACGCACAGAACTACGTATATACGCGAGGGAGCTGCCGGGCTGGCGGGGCTGTGATGGGCCCATGTGCGTGTGTAATGGTGCGCGTGTTGGCGGGTGTGAAGGAGGCTGGGCTGAACGGCTGCCCTGGCAGAGCGCGCTGGGCGTGGGCCTCCCTCACTCGGAGGGAGAGGAGGTGGGGGGGGGACGCGAAGAGGCTTCAGGGAGAGGCCGCATGCTTGGGGGCTTCCGGCTAGGGCGCGCGGTGTGCACCGGTGAGTGAGGGGCACCCTTGGGGGCTGGCCACCCGCACCCCTGCTGCAGCGCCTCTGGGCCACTCACTCACCCTTCGGGTTCCCATCAAGCAGTGGCCCCCAGGAAGCCCTGGGAGTCTGGCCTCAGTGGATGGGCCCTTTCGGCTTCTGACTCTTCATAGGCAGACCCCAGCTACCCCTGCACTGCACCCCCATGCCCTGGGAATGGGGGAGTGTTCCCGGAGGGGCTGCCACAGGGGCATTGTCCCCTCCTCATTGAATTTCCAGTTCCATGCCACCTGTTCCATGATCAGGTCAGGTCACCTCTGGGACCTCTAATTCCTGTGGCTCTTTGGGCCTCCCTCTCCCAGACCTCTTAGCTCTGGGACAGCAACATGAGTGGCAGGAGCTAGGAACCTTGGGCAGGTTACAGCCTTGGATTCTTCATCTGTTAGAAAGAAATGACAATGTCCGAGACTTCCCTGGCAGTCCAGTGGTTAAGACTGCATGCTTCCACTGCAGGGGGTGCGGATTTGGTCCCTGGTCAGGGAACTAAGATTCTGCATGCCGCACCCCACTACCAATAAACAAATAAATAACAGCGCCCACTTCCTAGGTTTGTTGTGAGGATGAAATGGATGAATACTTGCAGAAAACATGGAAGGTGCTTGGTAAACAATGCATGTTAGCTGATAGTATATATTCTTGCCTTTGTCCCCAGTGCCTTCTGTAGGGATTAGTGGGGAAGTCCCGCCGCAACATTTGGTTAAGAAGTGACCAAGTTCAAGAGGGAGGGGACATACATGTACCTAATGCTGATTCGTGTTGATGGATAGCAAAAAACTAGCACAATATTATAATTATCCTCTAATTTAAAAAATATTTAAAAATCTAAAAAAATAAAAGAAGTGACAAAGTGGGTGAATGAAGGAATACCCCTGACCTGAGCCACGTGCTGAAGTCGGGGACCACCCTTGCCCGCACCCCTCCACCCACACAGGCCTTCTGTCCATACCTTGCACATGACTCCCAGCCTCAGCTCCGCCATCGCCCTCTCCGAGGCCACTCTCTGCAGCTCTGACTGCCCATCCCCTCTCTGACTCATTCTCTGTCACCTGCCCTAGTTTTCGTTCTAGCGCTTTTTCATTGCTCATGTGTTTGTATGTCTCCCCCGATCAGGATGTGAACTCCGTGAGAGTGGGGGGCCGTGTGTGTCTCCTTCACGTCTGTAGCCCCAGCGCCTACAACAGCACTTGCACAGAGTTCAGTTCAGTTCAGTTGCTCAGTCGTGTCCGACTCTTTGCAACCCCATGGACTGCAGCACACCAGGCCTCCCTGTCCATCACCAACTCCTGGAGTTTACCCAAACTCATGTCCATTGAGTCGGTGATGCCATCCAACCATCTCATCCTCTGTCATCCTTTTGCAAAGAGTAGGCACCCAATAAACGCCCTGTGAGCGGAGACAGGAGGAAGTGATGGGACTGGGTTCTCTCAAGTCCTGCAGGACGATGTTGCTCCTCTGTCACCTTGACTCCAGGGCACCCCACCTCACGCCTCTCATACAATTCACCCCCTTCCTCTCTCGTTCCAGACACTATCGGCCCATTGCTGCTAACCAAAATGGCTAACTTCACCCCAATCAACGGCAGCTCGGGCAACCAGTCTGTGCGCCTGGTCACGTCAACCCATAACCGTTATGAGACGGTGGAGATGGTGTTCATCGCCACGGTGACGGGCTCCCTGAGCCTGGTGACGGTCGTGGGCAACATCCTGGTGATGCTGTCCATCAAGGTCAACAGGCAGCTGCAGACGGTCAACAACTACTTCCTCTTCAGCCTGGCCTGTGCCGATCTCATCATAGGCGCCTTCTCCATGAACCTGTACACCGTGTACATCATCAAGGGCTACTGGCCCCTGGGCGCCGTGGTCTGTGACCTGTGGCTGGCCTTGGACTACGTGGTGAGCAATGCCTCTGTCATGAACCTGCTCATCATCAGCTTTGACCGGTACTTCTGCGTCACCAAGCCCCTCACCTATCCGGCCCGGCGCACCACCAAGATGGCGGGCCTGATGATCGCCGCCGCCTGGGTCCTGTCCTTCGTGCTCTGGGCGCCTGCCATCTTGTTCTGGCAGTTTGTGGTGGGCAAGCGGACGGTGCCCGACAACCAGTGCTTCATCCAGTTCCTGTCCAACCCCGCGGTGACCTTCGGCACGGCCATCGCCGCCTTCTACCTGCCCGTGGTCATCATGACGGTGCTGTATGTCCACATCTCCCTGGCCAGTCGCAGCCGAGTTCACAAGCACCGGCCCGAAGGCCCAAAGGAGAAGAAGACCAAGACCCTGGCCTTCCTCAAGAGCCCCCTGATGAAGCAGAGCGTCAAGAAACCGCCGCCCCCGGGAGACGCCGCCGCTCGGGCCGAGCTGCGCAACGGGAAGCTAGAGGAGGCCCCTCCGCCCGCACTGCCGCCCCCGCCACGCCCCGTGGCCGACAAGGACACCTCCAATGAGTCCAGCTCGGGCAGCGCCACCCAAAACACCAAGGAGCGCCCGCCCACAGAGCTGTCCACCACAGAGGCCACCACGCCGGCCACACCCGCACCCCCCCTCCAGCCACGGACCCTCAGCCCGGCCTCCAGATGGTCCAAGATCCAGATTGTGACGAAGCAGACGGGCAATGAGTGCGTGACGGCCATCGAGATCGTGCCTGCCACGCCGGCTGGCATGCGCCCGGCGGCCAACGTGGCCCGGAAGTTTGCCAGCATCGCCCGCAGCCAGGTGCGGAAGAAGCGGCAGATGGCGGCCCGGGAGCGCAAGGTGACGCGGACCATCTTCGCCATCCTGCTGGCCTTCATCCTCACCTGGACGCCCTACAACGTCATGGTCCTGGTGAACACCTTCTGCCAGAGCTGCATCCCTGAGACCGTGTGGTCCATCGGCTACTGGCTCTGCTACGTCAACAGCACCATCAACCCGGCCTGCTACGCCCTCTGCAACGCCACCTTTAAAAAGACCTTCCGGCACCTGCTGCTCTGCCAGTATCGGAACATCGGCCCTGCCAGGTAGGCAGGCAGGGGTGCCCCTGGAGGTGCTGGGGCGTGTGCGGGCGACCACGTGGCTTGGTGGATGCCCAGGAGAGATTTGGAGGCACTTCTCAGCGTTCACGTTCTCCGAAGAGAACTGAGGTCCCCGAGACCCCGCGAGGCTCAGAAGAGGCTCTGGCTGGATTCTGAGACCAGGTCTCTGCTCAGGCCAAGGATCAGCCCCAGGAGGTGACTGAGCCGGACAGTCCGACCCATCTCTGTGGTCCTGCCTCAGGGAGCTGGGGGGCACTGGCCGACGTGGGCACCTTGCCCCACTGTAACTGGCCAATGTGGCTGGAAGAAGGGACATCTGGAGGGGAGCAGAGCCTCCTTTGGGAGGAGCAGGAGGGCCAATGGTTGGGAAAGGAGACTCAGGAAGGGAATGGAAGGGGAGGGCCTCCTATTCTGCTGTAACCGGTGCTTTCTGCCCCTGACGCCCCCGCATGTAGGCTCCGTCCCTCCTCCTAAGTCCCACTCCAGGGGCAGAGGCTCCCCTTGCTGCAGCTCCTCAGCCGGGCTCTGGGTGGGGGGTGTTGGGGGTGGGCTGGCTGGAAGCCAGGCAGAGTGGGCTCTGAGCACACCCAGGTCACATTCAGGATGGGCCAGTGGGGAGATCAGGGGTCCACTCAGGAACTGGGGTCCAGCCACTTCCCACCCTCGGCTGAGCTGAGCGGTCCCTTCTTTCTGTGGAGTTGACCCCGCTACCTAAGGAGAGGGCTCGTCCTGGGTCACATGTAGCGAGGGTGGGACTGTGGCGAGGGGTATTCGCCCTGGCCTCTTCAGAGTATGAGGGACGCTCCAGTGGGTCACCAAGGAGAAACCCCAGGGTGCGGTGGATATGATCCCGTCTTCCGTGACGGTGGCGGGGCGGTGGGGGGGACAGGGCTGGTGAGGAGGGCAAGCGACTCCCACCTCTCTTCTCTCAAAGGATAGAACCTTCTGGATTGGCAGTGGGCTGGACCCAAGATCTTGCCGTGGGGGAAACTGAGATGGGGGAGTCAGTCCTATTGTCTCCTGGGTTCCCTCCTTACCCCTGGTCTGGCCCCTGGAGAAACAGGACTGAAGGGCTCAGGGGACTTGATCAGGGGCACCCTTTCAGGGGTCAATAGGGGCCCCTGGAAGAAATTTTCATAACCGTTCTTTCTCCATGAGCTCTGGGGGGCACTCGCCGCCAAGCCCCCAACCCCCTGAAAGCCACCGTTCCCTCCAGCCCTCTCTCTCCTCCATTCTCCCACCTCCAAAAAATCACCACAGCAAACTCCCTGGGAAGGGGCTTTTATATATTAAAAGAAAAGCTTTTATTGGGAACAAAAAGATATTTATTTTATTTATTTCTTAGTAATGGCATCCAGTTGGGGGAAAAAGAAAAGTGGGTACCGGGGAATCAAATCCCTTTGTGGGGGGGACTCAAGCTGCCCAGAATCCCTTGTCCCTCTCCACTTCGGGCACTTGGGGTGATGTGGGCAAGTGAAAGGGAAGAAGCAGGGCATGATTGATAAAGCTAAGAGGAGGCAGAAGGCACTGGTGGGTAACATCTTGAGCCTGTGGAGGGAGGGCGTGGGCCGAGCCTCTGGGTGAAGCCGGGGCTCCTTGGCATTGGGGCCTGGCCGCTAGTCCTTTTCTTTCCCTTTCTTGGCTGTAAAACAAGAAAGAAACACTGCATTAGCAGGGTTCGGGTGACCCAGTGGAGACCCCCGCCCCCTCCCTGCAGCACGCGCATTAGAGAAAACAAAATTCTGCCCTCTGGTGGTTCTCCATCAGCCCGCCGGGAAGCCCCTGGGCCAGGGCAGCCATTGTGATGCCCTGGAACCTTCCTCACTCCCCCAGCTTAGACTTCCGCTGGGAAATCTGAGAACCTCCCAGTTCCCGTCCTCAGTCCTAGTCCCAGCAGCCCTGGAACTCAGCCTCAGTCCCCTCACCTGAGAAGTGGGCATATGCCCCTCTGCCTGGTTGGCCTCCAGGGCTGCCGGGACTCAGGAAGGAAGCTAAGGGAGAGAGAAGTAAGGAAGTCCTTCCCAGCTAGAAACTGCCCCCACCTGCTGGGAAATGACAAAGCCAGGCCCTTCCAGGCCCACTACCCTGGATCCTAAGCCAAAGGCTCCAACAGAACCATTGACTTGGTCCTTACTTGAGCCAGGGTTTCAACCTCCCAAACTCCATCTGCAGAGCTCTCAGTTCCACCCACCTAAGGTATCTCTGCCTACAGAAAGACAGTGTAGACATCAAGAAGTCACTGGCCAGTATCCACAAACGGCAGCTTCACCACTGCCTTCACAGGTGGGGGCAGCCACCCCGTGACAACCCCGTCCCTACCCACCACCGTCGCTAACCTTTGGCCTTGGCTTTGGTCTTGGGGCTGCAGGGCTTGGTCACCCGGATGGTCTCCTGGCACTGGGCATTGTACCGCGCCTTCTTCAGGGTCCCCTGGCGGGCTTTGGTGCCTGTACCATCACACGCCCCCCAGGTCTCAAACTTGTACTTGCAGTCGGCTGGCGGGAGAGCGCGGGGGAGGTCACGGCTGGGAAGCCGTGAAGCTGGGCCCCCTGCCTACCCTCCGCGGGCACCCCACCTCACCTCCGAATTCCTTCTTCCAGTTACAGGGCACCCGGCACCGGATGCGCTGCGTCTGGGCCCCGCAGGTGCCCTCGCGGAATCCCACGCCGCAGTCCTTGCTGCTGGGGGTGCAGGGCCCCCAGGTCCACTCGGCGCACTCGCTCCCCGGGCCTCCCTTCTTCACTTTGTCTGCAACGCAGGGGAGCAGAGCTCAGGACCCGGACTAGGACTCACCCTTCCTGGGCTCCGGCCCCCCAGCCCCCCGCCCCCGCCCCCCCGCTCCCGCCGAATCACCTTTCTTTTTGGCCACCGCGGAGGTGAGCGCCAGGAGGGCGAGGAAGGCGAGGAGGAGGAAGCTTCGGCGCTGCATCCTGAGGGGAGAGGACGGGTCAGAGTCCCCCCCGGAGGCCGCCGGCGTGGACCATCCACGGCCCCCCCGTCCCCCGCTTTGCCCCAGTTCCCAGGCCAGGCCCAAAGGGTCGGGCTGCTACTGCGGTGGCGGCGGACTTGGGGGGGGGTCTGGCCTCTCGCCGCCAGTCCGGGCGCACAGAGGGAGGAATCTCCCCGGGGGCCTTCTGGAGCCCAGGACGCAGCTCGGACCCCCACCCCGCCTCCGGACCCCAGATGGGCAGCGGCTGGGGGGCCCGAAGCCGCCGCGCGCCCTCCGGGGCCCCGCACGCTCACTCGCTCGCTGCCCGCGCGCGCGCGGCTTCGCTCCCTCCCGCGCCGGGCCGTCCCGCTCCGGCCGCCGCGGCCCCTTTTGTCTCCAGAACCGGTCTGAGCCGGTCACATGGGCCCCCGCCCCTCCCCCCCACCGAGGAAGGACCTGCCCCGCCCCCTCCCCTCAAACCCGCACCGCCCCCCGACCCCGGCGTCCCCGCCTCCCCTCCCTCCCCGCGCCCCTACCCCCCTCTTCCCGCCGCTCGCCCCACACCCTCGCCTCACCCGGCCTCTGCCCTCGGCTCTCAGACGCCCGGCTCTCCTGGGCCCCCCATCCTCTGATCCCGGCCTTTCCCGGCCCCGGGCCTCCGTCGGGTCCTCGCACTCCATTCCCCATGCCCCAATCTGGCGCTCCCTCGGCCCCAGACCCGGTTTGCCGTCCGCTTTTCCCTCTGGACGCCCGCTTCCCTCCACGGCCACGGAGCCTTAGGTGGAGACCAGGAGTGGGTACGGAGCCCCGGGTGTGTCACAGGTCCCGGCGTGGGTCCCGCGTTCGAGCCGGTGTGCGGCTCTGTCCGCCGAGCCCCGGGTGGGTGCAGTGATGAACCCCGTCTAGTCCCCCCTCCATCTCCCAGGACCCGCTGGACTCTCAGCGGCTCTTAGATGCTGGGGAAGGAGCACCAGCCCCCGCCTCGGCTCACTTCACCAAGTGCGCAGGGAGATGCTCTGCTCCGTGTTGCGGAGGGGCTCGCAGGGGAACCCCAGAACAGCGCCCGGGTTGGGGGGAGGAGCGTGGAGGCCGCTGCGCTTTTCTCGGAGCGCAGGTTGGAGGGGGCGCGCGGGGGGCGGGGGGATTTGAGGAAGGAGGAGCCCGCAGGCCGGGGTTTGGTTAAGACTTGAGAGCAGACAGGAGCCGTCTGAGAAGTTCCAGATCCGGCCCGGCAGCGGCTGCAAATGCCCACCCCTTGTGAGCCGGGACCGCGGGCATCGCCTCGTCAGGTCCCCGTAGGAGCCAGAGCGGTGGAGGCCAGGGGGAAGGGGGCTTGCCCAGCCACCGGGCCACCGGGCCCAAGAAACCAGGCCTGGCCCCTGCCCCACCTCTTTCACTTTCATTGTTATCGTCCCAGCGGGAAGCGGGAAGCAGGAAGAAATCGGCTCCTCCCCCGGCCCCGGCGAGCCGGGCAGCCTGGCCGAGGTCAGGTCCCGGGCAGGCCCTCAGACCCCACCCCCGAACGGGAATCAGGACCCCCTGAAATGGGTCTGCGTTCACGCGTCCAGTACCCCACCCTGCGGATAACCCAGCAGATCCCACTGCTTCAGGAAGACTTCCCACTCCGCCCCCCAAAAAATGAAAAGCAGAAAAGAAAAAAAATACACTTTACTGAGTCACACCCAGCTGTAAACATGTCACCACGAGAGAGCCCCATCCCAACCCCCAGGCCACAGAGTCGGAGGTGAAATGACTGGGTTTGGGAGGAGGGTCACAGGGGAGGTGCTAAGCAGGGCGGCGGGCAGGCAGATGCAGCAGAAGACCCCGGGTGGGTGGGGGGTCAGGGCTGGAGAGGGGGCTGAGCTCCCAGGAGCCTCAGAGTGACAGTCCCACAGGGCTGGGAGGCTTAAGAAGCCTCTTCCTGGGGGCTCCCTCACGGGGCCTCTGCCCTCGCGGCTGCGGCCCCTGAACTCCAGGGCCCCCAATGTCACCCCCATCCCCCCCTGCCCCGGGCCTGCCCAGCCCAGTCCAGTTTCCTGGTCCCCTGTGAGCCTCCCTCCGGGTTAGGCTGCGGCCTCAGGGGACGGGGTGGGACTCCCCCAGCTCCTCAGAGTCCAGCCCTAGGTCTGGGCAGCTCCTCAGGGAGCAGCACGCGGCTCCTTCCCTGGGGCCCGGGTCCCTCTGCGGCCGTCTGACTGGAATGCAGCAGTGTGGTGGCCAGGAGGGGGCTGGCCTGCCCTCACACCGCTGTCTCCTGGTCCTCCCGCTGGATCATCTGGTAATGCTGCCGATTCTCCAGGTAGGCGGCCAGTTCCGTGTCCTGAGCCTTCTCAGCCCTCTGCCGGGGAGTGTCGCCCTGGATGGGGGTGTGTGGGGGGGTAGCTGCCGTCACCTCAGGAGCCTGTTGGCCCTGACAGACTAGAAGACAGGGCGCTTCCCTCGCGAGGAGCCGCCTTCTGCTGGCTCAGGCTTGGGGTCCGGGCTGTGCTGAAGGCCAGCTCTGAATCCCCTGAGGCCGCCCTCCCCCGGACCCTCCTCTCCCACGGGCGGAGTTTGGGGAAGGGTAGCTCTGTGTCTGCCCTATCCCTCTGCTCACCTGCTGGTCGGTCTTCATGAGCGAGGCCCCGGCCTCCACGATGTAGTGGCAGATGGTGCGCTGGCCCAGGGCCGCTGCCTGGTGCAGGCAGGTCTCCCCGCTGGGGGACAGGGGCTGGCTGTGGACCCCATCTAGTCCTCTGGGCCCTCCTGTCTCCGCAGGGGCCATCAGAAGGGACAGGACGTGTGGGGTCCTGGGGCAAGGTGGGGGGGGGTGGTGGCCAGGAACAGTTTTACGGGCTCTGACAGGATCCACATGGAAGGGCTAAATGGAACCTGGGTGGTGTCCAGGGTAACTGGGGTCCTGCCCTGCCCTGCCCAGATACTCACTTTTCCTCCACGGCATCAAGGATCTCAGTTGGCGCTGGGGAAGAGGGAGGGGGAGGTCAGAGAGGCCCGGCAGCCTCCCCCCAGCCCCGGGAGCCCCCGGGATACAGCTCACCGTGGTCCAGCAGGTAGCGGACCACCTCCTTGCTGCCGGTGCTGACTGCGTGGTGCAGGAGCGTGCGGCTCCGCTCGTCACGGTGCATGAGGTCGCCCCCAGCTCGGTGCAGCTCCTGAAGCTGAGGGCAGGAGGCAGGACAAAGCTGGGGCGCCTCGAAACCACCCTCCTTCCAACCACAGAAATGCCCCTCCAACTCACACAGGCCCCAGGCTCCCTAGAGGTCTATGGGGGTCTTTTGGGAGTGCAAGGGAGAGACATTGGGCATCTCTCATCCCAGGTGCCCCTGGATTCCCTGGGAGCCTTGAAGCCACTGGTTCCTCTAAAACTTGCTCCTTTCTCAGTTCTGGGGACAGACGGACTGAGCTAGGAAGCCCCTATGGAGGGACAATGATTGTGGGTGGGGCGGGGCAGGGCAGATTGGGACAATCACATGGAGACACCCCCCCCGCCCCTCCCCCCAGAGGACCAGGTCATGACAGATGACTGCACCTTGACCGAGAGGAGCTCCTGGCCCAGCCAGAGGCCCCACTCCCTGGGCCCTGCTGGGGCTGCCAAGGGGAAGAAGCCCGAGCCTGGCACTACTACCTTACAGAAATCGTTCTTCTTGGCAGCCTCGATGAGCTCTTCACCTGCTCGGAACACCAGCCTGTTACACTCTGGCATGGGAGGCCTTGGCTCATGTCAGTGCGTGAAGACGTGTGTGATGTATTATTGTGCAAAGCGGGCCTGAGGGGCACGTGTGCCGATGGCTGTGGCAAACGTGACTATAGCTATGTTGGTGTGTATGGGCTCCACCTGGCCCCGCCCCACCCCACTGAGCCTGGGTCCTCTGACCAGGGAGAAAGCAGGGGCCCTGCAGGGAGAGGCCTCACCTGTAGGGGGTGCAGCGTCCCCTGGCAGTGACCTGCAAACAGAGCAGATGTGACAGGGTGACATCACGGGATGACAGGGTGACATGAGATGTGACAGGGTGAGATGTGACCGGATGTAACAGGATGAGATGTGACAAGGTGACATCACGAGATGACAGGGTGACATGAGATGCGACAGGGTGAGATGTGACAGGATGAGATGTGACGGGGTGACAGGGTGAGAAGTGACAGGATGTGACAGGATGAGATGTGAAGGGTGACATGAGATGTGACAGGGTGACAGGATGAGATGACAAGGTGACATCACGAGATGACAGGGTGACATGAGATGCGACAGGGTGAGATGTGACAGGATGTGACGGGGTGACAGGGTGAGAAGTGACAGGATGAGATGTGAAGCGTGACATGAGATGTGACGGGGTGACATGAGATGTGATGGGGTGACATGACGAGATGACGGGGTGACATCACGAGATGACAGGGTGACATGAGATGTGACGGGGTGACATCACGAGATGTCAGTGACATGAGATTGACAGGTGACATGAGATGTGAGAGGGTGACATGAATGTGACAGGATATGTGACGGGGTGACATGATGAGATGTGATGGGGTGACAGGGTGAGATGTGGCAGGATGTGACAGGATGAGATGTGACAGGGTGACGAGATGCGACAGGGTGAGATGTGACAGGATGAGATGTGACGGGGTGACATGATGAGATGTGATGGGGTGACAGGGTGAGATGTGGCAGGATGTGACAGGGTGACGAGATGTGACAGGGTGAGATGTGACAGGATTTGACAGGATGAGATGTGACGGGGTGACATGATGAGATGTGACGGGGTGACAGGGTGAGATGTGGCAGGATGTGACAGGATGAGATGTGACGGGGTGACATGGCTACAGCACAGGCCCAGCTTGTTGCCCTCCCCAGCCCCATCCCGGGGCGCCCTTGGTTCATTCAACAGTTTATTGAGTGCTTCCTGCATGTCAAGTGCTGTTCTGGGCACCAGCAACATAGCCATGAACAAGACAGGTGGAGAGCTTGCTCTCAGGGAGCTTACATTCTAGTCAGAGAGACAAAGTCAGACAAATGAGTAAACAAAGTGTTCTGGAACAGCAGGAAGTGTGGAAGAACAGGAGATTGGGTGGTGTGATTGAACAGCAACTTCAGGGAGGCTCCCGAGAGACTGCGGAGAAGGCACACCCAAGCTGAGACGTGAGTGGAGGGTGAAGATCGGGGAGGCAGGGACAAGTCCAGAGGTGGGCAAAGGAAGCAGCAAAGATCGGACAGGTGAGTGGGGCTGCACTGCGGTGGTGGAGGAGGGTGCCGGTGCCCAGTGAAGGGAGCAGGGCAGGGCACGTGCCCACAGGGTGCTGGGGGAGAGCAGGAGGCCGGGGGGCTGCAGGGCACTCCGATGAGGGTGGGGGTGGCCGGGATGGAGCCTGGATCTCCGGCCACCGCAGCAGGGTGGATGGTGGCCAGTGGGGCAGAGGGCTTGTGGCCTGGCTGCGGCCGGCTGGGGTTGGGGGGTTCAGTCAGCTGCCCTTTGGGGTGGGGGGGGGAGGGTGGGCTGAGGCTTGGGACTCACCGGGATGTGGGGGAGCAGGGCGAGGTGGGGAGAGGGGACGTGGGGGTGGGAAGGTCAGGCCGGGCAGATGCCCCCAGCAGCTCAGGGTCCAGGATATAAATCTCGTCCTGTGCGATCTCGGTCACGTAGTTGAGGTGTTCCTACAGGGTTGGGGGGGAAGGTTGGGCCAAGGGTCAGGGCCCTACAGGGTGGCCGATGGCGGGTGCAGAGGGATGCCAGGCCAGCAGACCTGGAGAAGCTGCAGCCGTGAGGTGGAGCACTGACGGGGCAGCCAGGCCTGGGCCATGCCAGCCCCCACCCCACCCCCAGCCCCCTCCTCTCCCTTACTGCCCTGGAGCCCCTGACCTTGCACAGGGGGCCCACCAGCTTGCAGCCCCTTCTCACAGCTAAGCCTTTACCGGGTGCCCGGCCTCTGACCCAAAGCGCCTTTCCTTCTGTGTCTGGCTGGAAGATGCCTGTGCTTTGAGGCTCCCCCACAACCCAACCCTGCGAGCCCAGCTCCCCGCCGTCAGCACCGTCCCTGTGCACTGCCCATCAGCGGACAAGGGCGAACACGCCCGTGCAGGGCAGCCAAGCAGGACAGGTGACACGGGGCCCGGAGCCAGCGGTTTCCGGAGCAGACCTTGAGTGCATACCTGGGCCCTGTCGATTCTGTAGAAGCGGCTGGCAGTGGTGGCTGTGGGGAAAGGGCTGGCTGAGGAAGGTGGCCCCCTGTCCAGGCCTGGGTCTCCTACCGCCCCACCCAGGACTGCCAAGGGAGGAGGCAGGCCCCAGCCCTTTGGGGGCCACTCACCATCGAGGAAGCACCACTTGGGGGACAGTTTCTGGCACATCAGGGACTTGGCTCCAGCACCTTCGGGCTCCTGGCAAGAGAGGCAGAGGCCAGGGCTGGAGGCCACCAGAACCTGGGCAGGCGGGGGCCTCCGTGGGCAGGCCCGGGCCCCACTCCTCACCTGCCGGAGCCTCTCAATGTGGGCGCGGCACAGCTCCAGGTCACTGTCTCCCGGGACCACCACGGTGCCCAGTGGCACGGCTGGAGGACAGGGAGGCCGTCAGCAGCTGGCTGCACCCCAGCCCGGGCCCCGCTCCTCAGCGCCCCCTCCCCACCCCGTCTGCCACTCACAAGCCTCTTTGAGCTGCTCCTTGTCGTAGTGCAGGGCCTCGTAGTCGTGCATGCTGACCCTGCTCACCTGGACTCGCAGCTGCTCCGGCACCGGCTGCTGGCTGCAGGCAGGGCGACCACACGGCGCTCGGCAAGGGCCCTGCCTGAGCTGCCAGTCCCAGCCAGGTGTCACACCACGTACCGCCCGTCCCAGCTGCCCGGGGGGAAACGGAGGCTGGGGAGGGGCAGAGTCTCTAGGGTCCCGGGCATGTGGGCGGGGTGGGGGGGGACGCACTCGCTGTGCAGGGGGGCAGCGCTCCGCCGCTTGGCCTTCTGCACCATGGTGGCCTGGTTGCGCAGGGCGATGCGGATGCGGGAGGCTGCGAGCTTGCAGGGCTCGCCGTCCACCTGCACCGGGATGGCTTTGGACGTGGTGAGCAGCACCTCTCGGCACTGCGTCAGCCGCTCGCCGTGCCCGCCCACCTGCAGTGCGGCCTGTGGGCATGGGAGGCTCAGGGTCAGGGGCCAGGGGGCGGCAGGACCCCAGGCTTTCCTTTTCCCAGGCCGGAGAACAAAGTGAGTGATCCCCCACCCGACGGAGAGCAGAGGAGGGTGAGACCCCAGCCAGAGAAAGGAGGTGAGGGCGAATTCTCCCATCCTGGTCCATGAAAAGGAAGTTGGTGACCCTCTTCCGTTATTTTTCATTTTTTTGTATTTATCTGGCTGCTTTGTCACGCAGGCTTAGTTGCCCTGAGGCCTGTGGGATCTTACGTCCCCAGAAGGGATCAAACTCGTGTCCCCTGCATTGCAAGGTGGATTCTTAACCACTGAACCACCAGGGAAGGCATCCCCTTCCATCCTGGGGCCAGGGCCAGGCAGGCAGGCAGGCAGGCCTGGGGCTCCAGGTGGGTCCCGTGCTGGCTTACTCACCAGGGAGGTCATGGTAAAGCCAATGACCTCGAGGTAGCCATCGTCGTGCCGCTGCGGCTCGAAGTCATGGTGCTCCCCAGGGTGGCCCCAGGGCATGGTGCCTGCACAGTACCTGGAGGGGACGGCACAGCAATGGGCTTCAGAGGACGGGCATGCAGGACAGGGACAGAAGGGCTCCCCTCGCGCCCTCCCCTCCTCACCTGGGGATGTTCAGGAAAACAATACACTGGGGCTTCAGGTCCTGAATCTTGGGGGTCAGGTCAGTCCCATCACACTGCAGGCAGGAACGGGTGGAGGGGGTTGAGGGCCTATGGATCCAGGGGGTCTCCCTTACGCCAGACCCACCCACCCTGCCTGCGGGCACAGCCCGCTCACCACCACGCGGATGTGCTTGGCCAAGTCCTTGGAGCTGCCCATCAGGAAGTCGGAGAAGGCTGTCTGTGGGAGACAGAGGGCGTCACCATCTGGTAAAGGGGCATGTCCTTCCCGCTGCCGTGCAGGGTCCTGAGGCCTGGTGGACATGGGTGGGTGGGGGCATGGGTGGGAGAAGAGGTGGGCATGGCCACGGTGGGGCACGGTGGCAGGCCCCAGACTCACCCCGGCGTAGAACATCTTATTCCGGAAGCGGCTGTTGAACTTCTCCGGGTTGGCCTCTGGGTGGTGACAAGAAATAGGGGACAGTCAGCTGCTCTGAGCCTGCTGGGGCTTTCCAAGCTGGGCTCGGGCGGGAGGGCTGATGACAGACGAATGCTCTGTACTGGCAGGGGCGAGGTCTGGCCGTCTCGGGGCCCCTCCTGGGGTCCCACCACCACCACCACCACCACCCGAGGCCTCCTCAGCAAAGACGCACCCACCTCGAGACTCGTGGAACTCCAGGGTGACATGGGCGTCAAAGCCCAGGCTGAAGTAGTTGTTGAAGACATCCAGAGGCAGCTGGAGGAGGTCCAAGGGACAGGCATGAGGAGCTCCCGCACGCACCCCGCCCCTCCCCACAGCCACCTCTGCAGAAAGGGGGCCAAGGCCCGGCCTTCTCAGCTCCTGGGGAGCCCCACTGAGCGCCTGCACACCAAAGCAGCCTGGCTTCTCTTCCCAGGCCTCCCACCCCCACGACCCTCCTCCGATGGGCCTCATGCGCACCAGGACCTGGTTCTGCTCACTGCTGAGAGCTAGTGCCTGGCGGTAGCAGGCGCTCAGTAAGATGTGCCAAGAGGCTACGGACAACTCTCTCATGAGCTGAAGACCACACCATTCCCTCCTCCCGAGGAGATGCCGAAGTTTGGTTACATGAAGACTTGCCCCGGATCCCAGACAACCCCAGCACCCCTCCCCGGCTGACCCACCCGGTCAGTAGCCCCCTCGTCTCGCTCCTCGGGCCCCGCCTCAGGGTTGGGCTCCGCACGGAGGTCCCAGCGGTCCAGCTGCACCACGTTGCCCTCCTCCACGTGGGACAGGATCTTGGACACAGGCTCGTCGGTGTAGCCCTGGGCGGGGGGTGGAGAGGCAGGAACTGAGCTCCCCCAGGGTCTGGGCCCTCCCCTGGCACCCCGCTCCCCCACCCCCGGCTCCCTGCCCCGTCAGTGGGTGCTCACCCCGCCCCAGTTGAGGGTGCGGGCCAGGTCATTGCCAGTGCCCAGGGGCAGGATGGCGACCGGCGGCGGCGGCTTCAAGCGCAGCTGGTCCAGGGTGGAGAGGATCCAGCCGACCTGGAGCAGGCAGGGCGGAGGCGGCCAGGTCAGAGCGGGCAGCCCCAGCCCGGCCCAGCCCGGGAGGGCAGGAGTACTCACTGTGCCGTCGCCCCCGCAAGCCAGGATCCGCAGGTTGTGCACCCGGCGGTACATCTCCAGCCTGGGGTCAGAGGACGGGCACCGGGTCAGGGTCTGTGAGCCGCACCCCAAGAGCGCGCCAGGCCAGCCCTCGCCACGGTCCCCACAGAGCCCTGGCAGGTACTTACGCCTCCCTGGGCCCTCCCTGGCTCAGGTCAAAGACTTGCCGGGGATTCAGATACCAGAGGAAGGACTGTATGATCTTGGCGCCCTGCGGGAGACCAGGAACGGACAGGGAAAGTGGGGAGGCAGTCAGGGGTGGTGGGCTGAGGTGGGAAGCGCGTGGCTGCGGGAACCCGGCCCAGGAAGAGGCAAGAGGTGGAGACAGAAGGGGATTTTCTCAGCATCATGGGGCAGAAGCTGACCTGGGGACCTGGGAACACCTGCTAGGGGGAGGGGCTGAGCTAGACCCCACCCCTTCCCCAAGGCTCTCAGAGGAGACGGGATGCTGTGCGTACCTGGTTTCCCCCACTCTTGGGGTTCACAAACACCAGCAGGGGCTTCATGAGGGGGGACGGGGTAGGCCTGATGATGAAGGGTCTCCAGCGGCCCTCCTTGGAGACAGAGAGTGCCTGTAAGGCTGGTTCCCGCTCTGGTGGACCCTCACTCTGTCCTCCGTGCCCCGGGTGCCCCCGTGAGTATCACTGGGGGGTCAGACCTCACAGTGGGCCTGGCCCCAGAGGATGACCTGACCTCTCACCCTGTTTGGGGGCCCCAGAGCCCAGGCTGACCCAGCAACAGCCGAGCTGGCAGCATCATCAGCTCCAGGCGGGGGCTCAGGGTTCCAAGAAACAGGCCCCCCGCTCCTGTTCCCCTTCCCGCTGCCCGCCTGGTCCACGTCTAACCTCAGGCCCTTTCTTGCTAGACTTCCTCTTGAAGGATGCTCTCTTTTTCTTCTTGCTGGCTTTGAGGGTGTTCTGGAAGGGAAGTGGGGGTGTGGGTGACAAGGCGGTTGGGGCTAGGGTGGCTGGCAGACCCTAGGGGTGGCGGGGGTTGGGGTGTCCTGGCACAGGTGGGACTCACCTGGGGCCTGCGGGCCCGGAGGATCCAGGTGGGGGGGATGACCACGGCGGCGTGGACCCCCAGGGAGCACGGTTCCTCAATCTGCTGCAGCATGAAGCAGGACACCTTGCTGTGGTACTGGAGGGGGCGGGGGGCAGGGCTGAGCTGGGCCCGGCCGAGACCTGCGGCCCGGACCCTGCGCAGCCCCGGGGGACAGCCTGCGGGCAGGGGAGCGGCACTCACTGCTTGCTTGCACCAGGAGCAGCTGATGGCCACGATCTCCTTGCTGTGGAAGGTGAACTTCTGCTGGAAGCCCTGGGGTGCAGAGGGTGGTGAGGGCCCCTGGGGCTGGGCCCAGAGCAGCAGGCCCAGCCCCTTCCTGCTGCCAATGTCTCTCTGCCCAGGGCAACTGAGCACTTATTTTTTTTTTTTAAAGAAAAGAACTATAAAAGGAATCCCTAGTGTCATGGGGGCTGAGCTGGGTCTCTGAAGTGAACTGCACCATCTGCTGGAAAGGGGTCCAGAGATAACTCCTGCCTAACTCCGGTCCCTCCCTCCCAATCCAGGCTCTCAAAGCTGTGTGCGGCAACCATCAGAGTCGCTCCCTGACCGTCCTCCGCAGGCTCACCGCAGGGCCCACTGTGCCTGACGTGCTGGACACTCGGGTGGACGGACGCAGGAAGGACAAGACCCCTAGGCCTCTCAGAGCCTGAACTTCCGGGGGTGGGCGGGGTGGGGGATGAGACAGCTCAGGGAAACCTGGGCCGCCACGGGGCGTGCTTGGGAGGGCTCTGCAGCCTGGAGGACAGGGGCCTGAGCTGGCACCCAGCAGGCCCGCAACAGGCGCCGGCTGGGCCAGCGCGGGAGCAGCCTCCACGCTTCTCGGAGGGCTTGCTCACAGCTCCCGCGCGGTCCAGACACGCTGCGCTCCCTGCTCTCCCGCTCTGCCCAGGCGCCCGGGGGCTCTGGGACTGAGCGGCGCGGCAGCCAGAAGGACTCTGCGCAGTCGGGCGGGCGGGGCCGCCGGGGCCAGGGCCGGCTTGCTCGGGCGGGGCCTCACCTTCCCACAGTGCCGACACTTGCCATCCTGGCGCCGCCGGTGTACCCAATGGTGCCGCACGAAGGTGGGCTGGCAGAGGAGAGGGGCGAGACTGCGGTGAGTGAGGGGCGGAAGCCTGGTGGCGCCCTGGAGCCACTGCCGAGGGGCCGCTCAGGAGACACGGGGCCCTAACAACCCCGGGAGCTCACCTCACGGACGTTCCTGGAGCCCGATTCGCGGAAGGATGGCTTACAGCGGAAATTTATCTGTGGAACACGCAGTGACCACCAAAACGTCAGAACTGCCCTTCGTGGGGTCAGGCACGTGGCCACCCCCTTCAGAAGGTGTCACTTGGAGGCGTCCTCACAAAGGAGGGAGAGGCCCCCCGGCATCCTGGGAGCCCTGAGAACGCCAGACACCTTTTCTCAGAAGCCCTCCGGCATCCCTCCTTCTCTCCACTAGCCAGAGGGAAGCTCCCTTCCGCTGCCCAGTCTTCCGGGATGAGGGAGACAGCAAGTTCTGTCTCTGTCTTCCCCGCTAAACCTGCAGCAAGGCTGACTGGTCCTGTAATCTTCCTTGCCCTCCAGCTCTCCCAAATTAGGCACCTGCAGGCAACCCAGTGCCTGCTTGGGGACTGGGCCCTGGAGACCGTCAGCCCATCTGTGGAGCCCTGGTTTATCTCCACCTTAGGCCGGTGTGATGGATCTACAGGACTTGGGGCTACATGCGTGTCTGTTTTCCTCTGGGCCCCTGCTTCAGCCCTTGGAAAACTGTAGGGAAACTTCACTGTTCAGGGTTGGGGAGAAGGGGAAGCCGTCCACGTTAGCCTCGTTCCCGCCATTCCGAGCCCCACAGGATTTCTCTTACGCTGGCCCGGGCTTCTGCTGGTGGGGAGTCCTGCAGGGCCGTGGCAGTCGCCAACCCTCTAGGCCTGGACCCGCTCACCCAGCTGTCCTTCTCTCTCCCTCCCTAGACACACGGGGGCACAGATGCGCCCCTAGCTGCAGCCACTCCATGGACAGTGGTCCCTGGGAAAAGGTCTTTACAGCCGCAGCGCGGAGGGAACAGAGCCAGGCTTCAGTGCCCACACAGGACTGGCCCAGACAGAGCTGAGGTACGAAGCTTCAGCAAGGCACAGCCCCTTCTAAGTGTTAGTTTGGGAACTGATAAAAAATAGCATCTCAGCCAGCATTCGTGACTTCATCTTGTCGAGTAACAGTCTTATGAACCTGGCTCTGCGCCAGGCTTGTTCTGGGCAGCGGGGACACAGCAGCAAAAGAAGGGGGAGCCGGGGTGCAAACGCAGGCACTGCGGCTCCAAGGTCCTCGGCTTTTTCACAACTACACGCACTGAGGCACCCCTGGCCGGTGGTGTTTGTGTGACGTGAACATGCGTGTACAGAGACCTGTGTGTGAGTGCCGTGAGGGCTTCAGCACCCCGAGGGGGAGGGGCAGGAAAGCCTGAGCAGCCACGCTCACCTTCTCCAGCTGCTCGATGCAGGGCGTGTGGACCACAATCTTGCAGGCTGCACACTTTCTCCGGGACACTGACTTCTGCTGTGGGAAACAGAAGGTCCCTGAGGCACCGGCTAACCCTGGCCCGGGTGCCGCCCTGCGCTTGCCCTGGCACAGCTGCGCTGGGAGAGCACTGTGGAGCCCCAGCCCTGGCTTCAGGCCCCAGTCCCGTCCCTCTGGCCGTCGGGGGCAGGCTCCCCCAGGGCGGCTCAGGTGAGAGCCTCATTCCCACTTTCCCCTGGGACGGCCGGCCTACAGGGCTCGAGACCCGGCTGCACCACCAGGGGGCAGCATGCCGCACCCCGCTCACGCACCAGCATCTTGGCCACGCAGTACTGCTCTCCAACGTAGCAGAAGTCCCCGGACACGTTGGTCTCGAACCAGATGTGCTCCCCATACGTCGCAGACTCCTGGAGGACGGAAGAGCACGCTCAGCGTACGCCTGCTGCGCCCCACATACTGTCCCTCTCCCAAGACAAACCTGCTCCAGCCCCCACAATCTACTTCACTGCATCCTGTTTTCCCCACTGTTGGCTTCAAGGCTTGGCTCGAACGTGGCCACCCTAGGAGGTCTGCCCTGACCCCACAAATCCATGGGCTCCCCCTGCAGCCGCCTGCAGAACCTCCGACCCTCAGCGAGGGACTGGTCCCCATCGACCCCTCCCAGCTCCCGGCCACTCACACTCCAGTCCACAGTGCTCCGGATCTGCCGCTCAGGCTCGCTACACGGGGCCCCGGGAGCAGGAGGAGGGGGTGCCAGGTGCTGGAGGCCCGACTTGGTGATGGCTTTCCTGCGGAGGAGGAGGCGGCTGAGGCCAGCTGGGAACACAGCTTCCTTCCCCTCGCCTGGGATCTCTGCCTTCACCTTGACCTCAATCCTGGGTCAAGGCAGGAAGGGCAGAGGAGGCCCCCAAGAGGCCCCCCAGCTCTGAGAAGATCCCCGAGGAGACTGGACTCTCCTCGCAGTCCTGCTGGCTTCCGAGCCTGGCCCAGAGCTGCTGGTGAGCCAGGGGCCCCCAGGCCAGCCCCCCGGAGGTCACACCACTGCCCTGCTGGCTGCAGCTATACCTACGCAAGCAGGGCACTCCAGGTCTGGGGTCCGGCTGACTTGCGCCGCAGGGCTACCTGGCGCCGGCGGGACAGCGGGCGCACGCGGGCGGGCATCCCGGGGCCGGCTGCGGTGCCCGAGGCTCTTCGACCCCGTGGGCTGGGGTGCTGGCCCACGGGCCGTGGCTGGCTGAGGCGCCGGTAGTGACCGTGCAGGCCCCAGAGTGCGTGGTCTTTCACCACATCTGCGGGCAGCAGGTGGGAGGAGGCCCGGCGCCGGCGCCAGCGTGGCACGGGCAGCAGGGGCAGCGTGCCGCGGGGCGGGGGCGGCCCTGGGGTCTCGGCGCCCGGCCGGGCGGGGCTCGGTGGTGCAGCCCTTACATCCTCCTTCTGCAAGCCCTCCTCCGTGCCCACGAGCCCGGCCAACAGCAGTGGTGCCACCAGAAGCTGGGGCGCCACCGCAGCCGGCTGCGGCGGGGTGGGCACCTCCTCCACAGCGAAGCGGGGGTTGCAGGCTGGGGGTGCGGTGCTGGAGCGCCGGCGGCGGCTGGGGCCCGGGGCCCCCATCCCGCAGCCCAGGAGGCAGCCCTGGAGCTGTGCGCTGGAGCGCCGCCGCTGTGCCAGCGAGGAGGAGGCCTGCCCTGCCGGCGAGCGGCGCCGGGCCTTGCCCGTGAGCAGCCCCACGCCGCTGGGCCGCCGTGGCCCCTCTCCAGGGCCCTGCGCCTTCCGCTGGAAGTGTCTCTTAATGAAGGTCTCCATGGCAGGGGCGGGTGGGTGGCTGTTGGGTACAGAGACCGGGAACATCAGGAGCCGGGCCAGGCTGGGGCCCATCCCAGGTCCAGGCGCCCAGTCTCAGCCTCTGCCCCTGGGGCAGAGAAAGGACACTTGGGAAGAAATGGGGGTGTTCTGTGGCCTCTGAGACCCTTAAACGGGGTGTCTGAGGGTACCAGAAGACCCAGCGGGGAGCCCACACTCATCGCTATTGGATACACTGGTGCTCCCCAATTCCGCCCCATTGCAGCCGCAGGAGCGCTAAGGAGGAAGGGTTGCCAGCTACCCTTCTGGGTTCCCCTGTCCAGGCACCAAGATCCACAAAGCTCTGGCCTAAAGGACTTCAAGTCCCTTGCCTGAAGCTGACGGAAAGGAAAAGAGAAAGGAAGCTGGGAGCCGTAGTCAACAGACTGAGGGGCTGTTGTTTAGTTGCTCAGTCTTGTCTGACTCTTTGCGACCCCGTGGACTGCAGCACACCAGGCTTCCCTGTCCTTCACCATCTCCTGGGGCTTGCTCAAACTCATGTCTGTTGAGTCTGTGATGCCATCCCACCATCTCATCCTGCCTTCTATCTTTCCCAGCATCAGGGTCTTTTCTAATGCATCAGCTCTTTGCATCTCGTGGTCAAAGTATTGCAGCTTCAGCTTCAGCATCAGTCCTTCCAATGAATATTCAGGATTGATTTCCACAATCTGTCACAGAAAACTAACCAAACTGGTCACATGGATCATAACCTTGTCCAGCTCAATGAAACTATGAGCCATGCCGTGTAGGGCTACCCAAGACTACCCGGTCATGGTGGAGAGTTCTGACAAAACGTGGTTCACTGGGGAAGGGGGAATGGCAAACCACTTTAGTATTCTTGCCTTGGGAACCCTGTGAACAGTATGAAAAGGCAGAAAGATATGACAGTGAGGGGCTGAGGGCAAGGCTTCTCCTCTCCTTGGGCAGGTTAGGCTTAGGTGTCCCTTCCTGGGACACGCCACAAAGCAAGGAATGGTAAGAAAATGAGGCTCTCTGAAAGGAAATTCAGCCCTGCTATGACCCCCAGACTTGGGGCCAGGCTGAGTGTGGCCCCAGAAAGGGAGAGCATCTGACATCTGCTTTGGGGTGGAAGGCCCCTGGGAACTCACCCCACCCCCCCCCGCCTGAGAACCGGAGAGGCAGCTGCACAGGGTGGGGAGAGAAGCCACCAGAGGGAGGGCCTTTGTGCAGGGAGCCTCTGGGCTGTGTGGGTGCGCTCCTGCTCTGAGGGGCTGACGGGAGCACTCCCCGGGCCTCACCTTTCTGAAGAGGCCCAGGATGGACAACCCATGTGTGACAGTGCTGGACGATGTCTGAAAACCCTTCCAGTCTGGCCGTTGAGGGAGCCCGTGAACTGCACCTTGACCTAGGGGCCAAGACCCAAAGCCCCAACGCTCAGAATCCCAACACTAAGCTACCCGGAGCACCATCCTGCAGGAGTCCTGGGGACCACGCTTGCTCGAGCCATCCTCCCTCGACCTGGTCTGAGCACAGGCTCAGATTCCTTCGCCAGCTCGCCTGCCGCATCACCCCTTCTGCACAGGCCGAGGGGAGCACATGCATTCTCACCCCCTCCTGACGTGGGGAAAGGGCACGGAGCCTGGTGTGCTTCAGGGGGGCCGTGCCTCCAGAGCGCCCAGGGACACCTGTGTCCACCATCAGGTACTCTCCTGGGCTCTGGCAGCCACAGGGAGGTCTTTGTCACAGCCATGGGACCCCTGCCTGTGGCTGACAGGAGAGACACTTCTGTCAGCTGTGGGCCTGAGAGGGTGGAGGATGGGCTTGAGGAATCCGGGCTGGGCTGCGGGGCCAGCGCCTACCCCTCCTGCTCCCGCCTGGATCTGCTACTGCCCTGGTTGGCTTCCCTGGTGCCTCAGACGGTAAAGCGTCTGCCTACACTGCAGAAGACCCGGGTTTGATCCCTGGGTCGGGAAGATCCCCTGGAGAAGGAAATGGCAACCCGCTCCAGTACTCTTGCCTGGAACATCCCATGGACAGAGGAGCCTGGCAGGTTACAGTCCATGGGGTCGCAGAGTAGGACACGACTGAGCGACTTCACTTCACTTGGGGGCCGGGGCTGTGGACACGTGCAGGGGTACTGACATGGAGGCAGCCACACCTGCAGAAGCAGTGTTGGGGGCTGCCGGGCTCCAGAGCTCTGCCACTTACAGTTTGCCGGCCTCTGCAGGTGACGGGGAGGACGGCAGAAGAGCTCCTGGTTTCCTCCCAAAATCAGTGTCGTCCCGCCGGACACTTGCTGAGTGCCCACGTGTGTCAGGCAGGGTACTAAGTCCTTGGCAAACATGTGCATGTGGTTTTATAAACCACAGCACCCTAAAGAACAGATACTGTATCATGCCTGGCTCCTGATGAGAGACTAAGGAGATAACTAGCCCAACGTGCACAGCTAGTCCGTGTGGAGCTGGGGCTGGAACCCACCTCGACCTGAGGGCAAAGCCTGGTTTGCGCTGGGACTAAGGTGCCATAATGACAATAGTGGTCCATTTGCCCATCACCCACTACGTGACAAGCGCCTTCACTCATCATCTCGCTTGCTCCTAACTACCACCCGAGGCAGGCAGGATTAATGGCTCCGTTACAGAGAGGAGGAAACTGGCTTGAGATCAGGCCCAGGCTCCAAGGTCTCACGGCTGGTCACGGGCAGGAGTGGGACCTGAACTCAGGTCCGCCTGATGCAAGGTCTGCACCGCGCCCAGCAGGAGGAGCCTGGAGGCCCAGCGGCCCGCTGCGGCCAGGGGCCCTGGCTTGCCAGCACTGCCCCAGGGTGTCAGCTTTCCCCGCCCGCCCGGTCAGGCCGCCCTGTGACAGCTGCCCAGCCTGGAGGAGATTAGTCACCCGAACACACCGCCTGATGCGAGTGTCACCCAGAAAACAAAAGGCCACAGTCACTGGGGGGGAGGTGCGGCAGGCGCCCTGTGGGTGGCGGAGAAGGTGGACCCTGCCGGCTGCCCAGCCCCGCGCCTGCGCCAAGAGGGGCTGGGGGGAGGCAGAGAGGCCTTGCAGCTCACCTGCCTCAGGACATGGGGGCGACTTAGAGGTGCTCTCCCCATGCCTGGGTCTTCAGCGGGCCCAGGGGTCACCACCAGTGAGGGCGGGGTGGGCCAGGCCGGTGTCGCGTGACCTCCTGCAAAGCCGCTCCCTCTCGGGCCTCAGTTTCCTTGTCGGTCGGAGGAGGCTGTCAGCTGGCTGATCTGATGGTTTATGACAAGCTCTCCTCCAAGGCGACCACGCCTCTGCGCTCTGACATCCCCTCCCCCCGGGGCCCAGGCTTCCTGTTCCTCTGGTCGCCATAGAAACCTCTGTCCTCTGGTCAGCAAAGGCCTGACTCCTGACTTCCTATCTCGGCCCAGGCCTCTCCTGGGTCTGCTCCGAGGCCCTGCCTGCTCTCAGGCCTGCCCCGGACTCTCCTCTGCCTGCGCCTGCAGCCTCTGCCCACGGCACGGCCCTGGGCGGCAGCTTCCTCTCACCTCACGCTCTGTCAGCTTCCACACACCACACTCAGTACGTGTAAAGGTCACCGGAGGAGGCCCCACAGGGTTCTGACACCAACGGCGGAGCAAAAATGGCTGCCCTCAGCCTCCTGGTCGGGGGGCCCGGGGGGAAGCCTGTCACACCCGGAGGGGGTGGGCTGGGAAAGGACTTGGGGGCCCCGTCGACGTCCAGAGGGCTGCTAGGAGCCTGGGGAGAAGGACAGAGGGTGCTGTGGCAGACAGGCACGGTGATAGCTGGCAGGGCACCCCTGGGGAACAGCAGACAGTGCGGCTGCAGGTGGCCAAGCTCAGGCAGCTGCCCGGGGCGAGTGGACACAAGTGCCCCAGCTCCATCAGCTGCTGGCTGGGAATGACAGGGCTCCTCATCTCCCAGTTAGACCGGCTCACGCTATGTTAGCTTCAAGCTTTGGAATCCTGTATCTGTCACTGCTTTCCTG